CAGAAGTTGCGGGAATCCTTAAGATCGGCACCTAGGCAAGGTGGTGCTAAAGATAGGGATAGGGATACGTTCCGAACTGGTTATGACCTCCTGTCTTTTCAGTCGGGCTCCGCTTCACGGCCTCGCTCTCGTGGGAAGCTGCTCAAATCACATGCTCAAAGGTGAAGGGCAGCAGGAGGCAGAAGAGGAGGAGGGAAGAAGAGAGAGGAGGGGAGGGCGGGAAAAGAGAGAGAGAGAGAGGAGGAGGCAGCAGGAGAAAGGGAGGGAGGGAAGAAGAGAGAGGAGGGGAGGGAGGGAAAGAAAGAGAGAGAGAGAGAGAGAGAGAGCGAGGAGGAGGTAGCAGGAGAGGGGGAGGGAGGGAAGAAGAGAGAGGACAAGGGAGCAGGACAGGAGGCGCTCCAGCACGCTGACGGAGGCTGGGCGCGCTGCCCGGAAGAGACGCAGCACGCGGAAGGCGGGGAAGTTGTTGGACAGCGCAGCCCTGTCGTACAGCTCCAACCACCAGGGCAAGATTGTGATTAGGTCCTGCCAGCTGGCACATCCCTCCTCATCATAATCCTCGTCTTCCTCCTCCTTATCCTCCGCCTTCTCCTCCTCCTCCTCCTCGTCCTCCTCCTCGTCCTCCTCCTCTCCGCTGCTGATGCTCCTCCCCCCCCCCGCCTTACGCTTCTCATCGTCGTCCTCGTCCTTCCTCCCCCTCCCCCTCCCCCTCCCCCTACCCCCCCTCTTCTTCCTCCTCCTCCTCTCTTCCTCGTTCACATCCCCTACTTCTCCATTTCGTCCTCCTCCTCGCTCTTGCCTTTAAGTATGCAATGTTTTCATCATCCGGGAATCGCCTATGATCGCCTTGCATCGGTCGATCGAGTCGTCAGTCACGGTTTCTCCCAGAACTCAACGTCTCTACCGCCTAGCGGCTCGTCCCATGTTTGCCAGCCGCAATCAGGATCGTGACGAGCGCGTCTTGGCTGACCCAATACTGTGGCTGTGGAAAAAATCAGAAACTCCACCTTCATGATAATCACCCTGACAAGCGAAGCAGCTTAGTAAACGCGCCCAAGGAACGGATCGAACAGGACAGGGCTGGTTAGTAAACGCCCAGGGCCGTTTAGTAGTAAACGCCAATTGTCAGGGTCGGAGTGGTTTTCCACCCTTGACAACAATGGTTTGGCTCACAAGCGGTCACCGCGTCCAGGATGGCCAATCCCCAACCCACGCCTTCCTCCCATACAGAGCCCCAACTGAGGGCCTGCTCCCAGTGGATTGGGTCGCATACGATGACCACACCCAAGAGGGAAATAGAGAAAGTTTGATTGTGTCTTCTAGAGAGAATCGCAGATTTTAATTGGAAAAGTAATTAGTAATCACTATCTAGGATTCTCTTTGAATTACTATGAAACCTCTATCACACGATCTGAGAGCTGGAGTGAGCTCTCAAAAATTACACTTAATTCGATTTATTGAAAAGTAATATTCTTTATTGTAGACACCCGATCGAGACGCATGCGTTTCCGAGGTGACGTTGGCGCAGCCACGTGCCTCCTATGTGGTGGCGGCGAGGACAGCGTAGAGCACCTGCACGAATGCCCTGTCGTTCGACCTGCCTACCATACGATTTGCAGGAGCATCGGCGTGATGGACGACTGGCACGAAGCATATGTCTTCTCGAGCTCGCAGCTGCACGGCACGCAATTGCAGTCCATCGCCGCTCTTCTTTTCGCTGTGGGCCAGGCCTGTTGGGCGGTGCAGAGAGGTGTCCCTTTTGACGACGAGCGCGACCTCGTACAGAATTTCCTGCGCCTGGTGCAGCATCCGCGGATGAGCGGCTCGGAGCGCACTCAGAGCAGACAAGAGCGCCCGGCACGCCGAGCGCGACAGACACCCTCTCACGAGAACGTGGTCACCGACAGATCCGACGGGGCGCCCAGGGGTCAAGGTCAAGCTGGCGACGGGCTCGTCAGAGGCAGTTACGGCACCGTCCGCCTCCCGGACGGGGCGCGTCGGCAGACTCTTGCCATCGTGCGATAACGACGTAGCAGAATACGAAAGCATGCTCATCTGCCTCAAGGACGCTCTTCGCTGGCCAGACACCGCGGTCGCGTTCCGGGTGGGCTCCCTACTATTGACACGTCAGTGCAACATAGAGCGGCGATGCCTGTCGGCATCCCTCATACCTTATTGGGAGCAAGCTGCAAAGTTGTTACACAGGCTCCGCGATAGAGGCTCGGCGTGCAGCATTCGCCACATCTGCCGAGAAATCCACGCCCTTGCCGACAACATCGCCAACGATGTTATCAACCACGACCAATACATCACGGAAACTGGTTCTTGTGGGAGCCGCGACCATGTATATGAACGCCTGGATCTGCGTGACAACATACTCCGCCGCACCCCCAAAAAGCCGACATAAGTGGCGACAATTACGCAATTAGTAGCCTCTCAGGGAGCCGCGAGGCCTCGCGTGACTGCCGCCTCTGCTGGTCCTCAGAGGAGCCGACGAAAGCGACAGATGCGCAGAAGGCAGCCTCCCAGGGAGCCGCGAGGTCTCGCCTGCCCACCACCTCCGCTCGACCTCCCAGGAGCCCGCAATTGCCCCCGCCCCCCCCCCCGGGGAGCCGCGAGGACTCGCCTGCCCACCGACTCCGCTGGAACTCCCACGAGCCCACGAAAGTGACTGCAACTGCGCAATTAGTAGCCTCTCAGGGAGCCGCGAGGCCTCGCGTGACTGCCGCCTCCGCTGGACCTCCCAGGAGCCCATGGAAGCAGCGACAGATGCGCAGTTGGCAGCCCCTGCGAGGGGTCGCGAGGTCTCGCCTGCCCACCGCCTCTGCTGGACCGCCCAGGGAGCCCGCAAGTGCCCCCCCTCCCCGGGGAGCCGCGAGGTCTCGCCTGCCCACCGACTCCGCTGGACCTCCGAGGAGCCCACGAAAGTGGCGAAAGATGCGCAGTTGGCAGCCTTCCAGGGAGCCGCGAGGCCTCGTCGTCGTCGTCGTCCTCCTCCTCCTCCTCCTCCTCCTCCACCTCCACCTCCACCTCCACCTCCACCTCCACCTCCACCTTCACCTCCTCCTCCTCCTCCTCCTCCTCCTCCTCCTCCTCCTCCTCCTCCTCGAGAAAGAAAACATAGGAGGCAAGGAGGAGGGAGATGGATAGGATCCGTAACCATCTTGGCCCAAGCCGCCCACCAGCCGTCGAACCCCCATCTTTTGGCCCAAACCAGCTAGGCATGGCGTCTCTGGTGCAGGCAGCGGCAGAGGGCTCCGCTGAGGTTTTAGATGGCGCGGGAGGGCGATACTAAGATTCGCCCCAGCAGGCGTGGGCCTGCAGCGAGGCGTGGCACGAAGGAGTGGGCATAGGGCCATACCGCGCAGTGTGGCCACCATCTTCGACAACACAGAATTGGCAGATCGAGTGCTTGCGATTGTACCGCATCCTCAATCTTTATTGCGAGGCGAAGCCCCTTCGCCGTCAGAGACAAGGAGGAGAATTGTAGCCCTCCATGCGGATGCTGACGGGTACAGTGTGGCGACAGCCTCAGACGAGCAGGTGAAGAGTTTTCTGGGAGGGCCCAGGCTCGAGACTCGGCGTGAGGCTCATTGCATCTCGAGGTGCGATTCCGTTGCCCAGAATGGCGCTCCATCCTTCAGGTCAGGTACCCCCGTCTTCCCTGAAGGATGGGTGGCGCCAGGCACCTGGTTGGGAGTGCACGGTACATCGACAAAATGTTGCACCACCAGGTGCCCACGACATCGTACGTCGTAGCTCGTGTTCACGTCCCCCCCCTCCCCCTATCAGAGGAGGAGGAGGAGTAAGAGGAGGAGGGGGAGGAGGTGGAGGAGGAGGAGGAGGAGAGTTGAAGCACGCGTTCCAGGGCCCGCCTGAAGTGCTGCAACAATGTGTCAACGCAAGGCATGTCGAAACGCCAGAGCAGCGGTGCAGTCTGCTCTGGAGCGCCTTGGCAGAGAGATGTGCTGAGACTGAGCCTGTCCAAAAGGGCCCAAGACACACAAATAAATACACGGATCCCATGACTCCCCATGTTTTCCTATATTTTCTGGGCTGTCGTCTTCCCCCCATTTCGACGATTCATTGTGTTTATGCTTTTTCTCCTCCTGACTGTCCAAGGCCCAACGGGCAAGAAAGGCGCTCGACAGACTTTGGGATGTACTTCGACAGGATGCTTTCTGCAACAAGCAGTGTCGCAGGAGGAGTCCGTGTACCGGTTGTCTCACTCGTCGTTTGAAGGTTCTGCCAGCGAGACAATGGCAGAGGAGCAGAAAGGTGTAAGCAGGGAATTCCGAGCAACCACAGAGACTAATGAAATTGGCATGCCAGGTATCTTACGGCCTTTGGATTTTGTACATTGCCAACATAATCAAGCCAGTACGAGACGGGTCCTCATAGAGACGCAGTCCACGGGAGAGCAACTAACTATGCAGGCAACGCCCACCAACCTTGTGAGCTCAGGCAGCATGCAGTTAGGTTGATTTTCCCAGATTCCTTCTCTTTATTCCTTAGCTGAGCCAAGACGCCGCTTTCGCCGCTCGCGATTTGCAGAGGCTGCGCGGGAACGCGAGAGGGAGAGCGAGCGTGAGCAAAAGAGGGAGCGTCTCGAAAGACGCCGCCTCAGACGCTTGCGTCTTGCAGACTTTGCGATGGAGAAGGATCAGGTGAATTGCCAGCGAGAGCGTGCCAGTGGGAGGCAAGAGAAGCCGCCTTAGCCACTTGTGCTTGCAACGCCATCTCCCTTCCATAATGTCATCATTCTTGCCCTTTTCTCCATCCTTCTATGCATAACTCTCCTCATCCCCCTCATCCCAGGCATTGTGTTGCATCCCTGTCGCGAGAGTTTTCTGGGGGGAGGCGGTGGAATGGCGGAGTGTGTCGAGCACTATAGTGTGTGCGCGTGCGTGTTGGCGTGGGTGTTTGCAATCGCTCGCGGCTGAAGTAAAGGGGTGCCCAGGGAAGACTTGATGGTCTATATCGAGCCACGATATAGACCATCACGCTTCGATATATCGAGCCTTGATGGTACGTATATATCGAGGCTCGACATATGGTCTATATCGAGCTTCTAAGGTAATGATGTCATGGGCACCCCTTCCTTTCCCATCCTGCACCGTGGCCTGTCCACCACTGTGTAGCAAACAGGAGTTGGGTCTGGCACGTCGCTCTCTGTCTCCCTTCCCTGCCCTTCCCCCTTCCTCCTCCTTTCCATGGCACCCTGAGCGCGTGCGGCTTAATTATTTCTGTCTCGCTGATACGTATGAATGCAGCCTAGTCGGTGAACACGGCTTGCTGTGGGTGGGTGTGTGTGTGTGAGATATGGACGTGAGGAGGGGAGGAGGCAGGGCGGAGGGGAGGAGGGGACGATGAGAATGAAGGGAAGGGAGGAACGAGGCAGGGGAGGAGAGTGGAATGAGAAGAGGGGGGAGGAGGAAGGGGAGAGGAGGAAAGGAGTCGAGACGAGGTGCAAAAGTCCAGGAGGTTGCCCCACATCAAGAACCAGGTCCGCAATCGCTGCAGGGGCGTCCAATCCTTAGCGACGCGCCCGCCGGGGGCGGAGGCCGACCACTCGGGCATCCCGCCCCCTCGTCTCCCTGAGCCTGCGAGCTGGAGCAGCCATGATGGGCAAATTTCCACTACAACTACCATATGTAGGACGGAGGAGGAGGAGGAGGAGGAGGAGGAGGAGGAGGAGAAGGAGGAGGAGGAGGAGGAGGAGGAGGAGGACCTCCTCATCCTCCTGTATCCTTCGTCCTACATATGGTAGTGGTGGTGGAACAGTTGCCCCTCTAACCAGGAGTGACCACTGGGGGCCACGTCCCAAGACCCAGGCGAGCCTCGGCCGGGCAGAACGAGAAGGGGCCGACCTCCCCTTGCAGTGAAGCCCTGGCCGCCGCAGGGGCCCCTCGTGGGCACGGGCGGCGACCTCGGGAAACACGAGTCGGATTCTGCTGTCCTCTCTGGGGCCTGGCAGGAGGGCACTGCTTGGCAAGATGCTATGGCCTACACGTCGGACGCGCTTCAAGCTTGGGGTCTGGATGTCAGACTGCGTCCCTCCTCATCCCCCTCCTCGGACTTCCTGCCTCCACCTCCTCCTGTTCCTCCTTTTCCTGCTCCTAAGGTCGGGGTACCCCTTTTATCTCCCTCAAACTGGACGTCTCTCGCGGCTCCAGTCTGGAGGCGAAAGCTTGCATCTGAAGCTGATACAGCCGAAGTAAGGTCAAACGAACGTCTGTCAAGAACACGAGCCCCTTCGACGCGAGCCCGAGTTCCCATCTAGATACCCTAAACGAGGCCCATGCCAAGGTGACACACGAAGAACGTAGGGGCATCCCTCCAATGCAAGGGTTGTTCTCAAACCTCGTGCCAGCTGTAAGGTTGCCAGAAGCGACGTCCTGGCCAAGAACCGTGCACGGCTCGTGCCCCAAAGGGTCACTTTAGGGCACCATGGGGTGCACGAGGGATGCACCTTTCCTTTCTCTCTCTCACACACCGTCATCGCCCCCCCCATTGCGCAACGCAACGCCCGAGCGGTGGGGCGGGGCCTGGCCTGACTCCGGGTGCGCCGCACTCGAAATTGTGTCGGGAACGCACCCCAACCCTACGAAAAAATGAGGCGGTGTTCTCCTCCCCAAAGAGGTCCGCCACCGTGCCTCTGGCAGGGTTGCTCTTAAACCTCGTGCCAGCTGTATTCTACAAACAACGCCCCGTCCCCACCGCTCCCCCCCCCGGGGGGCACGGGTGGAAGGAGGGGCGGCTCCGGCAAGTCCATGCGGGGGGCCAGCCAGCGGGACTGACTGGGCAGAGGTGAGGGCATAGAGATGCTACGCGTGAGCGACGATCAAAAACGGATCTTACGCGAGATGGCGCGGCGACCTTGCGCGGCGGCTTCCGCGGGCCGCACGCGCGGGATGCTGCATTGGAGACGAAGGCGCTTACGCGCGACCTTACGCGGGCGGCTTACGCGCGAACGTCGGCTGCTAACACCAGCCTCGACCTTATCCCCATCCGTGCGATCGGCAGGCCCAGGGCGATGACAATCTCAGGGATGTGCCCTCAGAAGCCACGGGGATCCCTAAAATCGCAATCGAAAAAAGGCGAAGCCAAGCGTAGGGATATGGGACATGTTTCGAGCTGGTAGGCTGCCCCGTCCCCCCGAGCGCATATTTTCATTTTGCATCCTGCCCTCCTGAACATTGAACACGCCAAGGCCGATGTTAAACCTGTACCGCGCTTAGTTTTGTGATTGCGTTTGGGACTCCAATTATTCGTCACCCCAATACAGGCACCGGAAACAGATAGCGAACACGCATGCCACATTCATCGGTCAACGTCTCCCCCCCCCGATGCTCAACGTTGGTGGTGGGTCTGACCAGCTCCACCTCGACCGCAGTCTCCTCCGCGCGTGCCAACTTTGAGCTTGGGGGAGAGGGGGAGTGTCCACGAATTGTTTCCCTCTTCCGCACGGATGTCAACCGAATGCTCGCTGCATCGAAATGCTGCATTGCACAACGCAAGGACGTGACCACACACAATTTGGCGACACATCTGTTACGGAATCACCTGTGTTGCTTAAGTGATGAGTGCTGGTTGGGCGACCGAGGGGCACGCTTCTGCAATAGGGGAGAACAACTGTGAGTCAAGCTGGAGCCAGCGCGAGCTGGCGTTGCATGTTTTGGTTGCGTTCGCGCGCCATTCAGCCCACGACTTGCGTCGTTTAGAACTCTGAGCATGTGGTGAACGTGTTGCAAATCATGTTGCCTTTGTGGTCTGTCACGAGCTCAGAACCCCATCCGCTAAAACAGTGTAAGTCGAATGATGCGGTGGCACGTAACACCTAAATAACGTTACTATTCTAGCGCAATGGAAACATCAAACCCGGATGCTGACTGTCCAGTGTCTCCGAAACCTGCGCTTCCTTTTGTCACACCCTGGTTCGACTCAGATATGATTCGAACGTCTCATTGAAAGACACAACGCTGAGATTATGAGCGTACGCAGCACGCGGGACACTGTGAAGCCGATGCACGATATGGCAGCCGCAGCAATCGACTCTGTGACGGGCCACCGACTAAGCAGGGGGGATAGAGGGCTCCCACACCCAGAGCAAGGAGGTGGGCGCAGGAGAATGAGGAAGAGTGGGCATAATGATCATAGTAGGGGGATGGCGAAGCCTTTCGTCTAGGGACGCGGATGCTTCACTCATCAGGGACAGAACCAGCATTGCCAATGCCTACTATGCTGGCGTTGGTCCGCAGGCGGCCTTGCCCGGCTTCGTCGGCGCCAACTGTGCCGTTGAGCCTCGGGGGGTCACGTCCCTGCGGGGCCGAGTGCGTGCCTGCCTTCCCGTGGCAGGGCACCGTACAGGGCGCGTTGCGTCGCCGGTCGGCGCACAGGACACAATGCTTCGCACTTGCCTGCCGTTTCGTGGCAGGGCGCCACACAAGGCGCACTCCGACCTTCCCCTCCAAAGCACTTCCTCCTTCTCCGCCAACCCCATCCCCCCCATCGAGGAAATGGGGACGATCGGCGGAGATGCACATGTACTCACACGCGTTGTCGGCCGACTTTGGCCGAGCAGGGAACGGTCTACCGCGACTGTGCGCCTGGCTCGCTCGAGGGATGGGTGGCTGCAAGAGAGGAGCTGCTGCGAGAACTGATCTGCTCACGTCTCCTCGTGGCGAGCCCTCGACCCAAAACTAATATGCTGGCGTCTTCTCATGGCGAGCTCTCGACACCGTCTCAAAGGAGCGAGGAGCCCTCCTATCCCTCCCTCCCCCCTCCGTGGCCAATTTGTTCATTGCGCTTTCTACGGCTCAGCCACTGCTCAAGGGAAATATGTGGGCAATTTTGCTTGCAGGTGGCCGAGTTCATCGCGCGGCCACCATGGCTCGCGGGGCGGCGCTTTTTGTTCCACCTCCTCTAGCCAAACAATTGGGCACCCGAAGCTTTCTTCGCGTCCTCCTGGCGCCCACCCGTGGCGGAGACATCATGAAAGGGGAGGGGCCCACTTAGCCATAGCAGAGGAGAAGGCCAAGAGGTACTGCCAATCTCGCGAGCACACCCTGGCCAGGTCGGCGGCTTCCTTACGTGCCTGGAGTGGGGGCTAGGCCGAAAAAGCACCTTGCTCTGCGGCCGCGTCTGCAAGCCTGCTGGCCTGCCAACGGGTGTGGTCGTAGCCATGGGCAGTAAGCACCATCAAACTCAAGTGAGACTGCCTATGATGAACGGAAATGGGCCGCTTGCCCAGAGCAGTAATCTCCCAAGACCTGCCATGTTTCTGTGTCGCTGCATGGGGAAAGCTCGGATGCCTTGAGCGACTGCCACATTCCTCTTCGTCCTCCTCCTCCTCCTCCAGCTCCTGCTCCTGCTCCTGCTGCTCCTCCTCCTCCTCTTCCTCCTCCTCCTCCTCCTCCTCCTCCTCCTCCTCCACATCATCATCATCATCATCATCATCATCATCATCATCAGCATCATCAGCAGCAGCAGCATCATCATCAGCATCATCAGCATAATCGGCATCATCATCAGCATCATCAGCATCACCATCAGCAGCATCATCATCATCATCATCATCATCAGCAACAACATTTTCATCAGCAGCATAATCATAATCATAATCATATCCATAATCATCATCATCATCAGCAGCAGCAGCATGACATCATCATCATCAACATCAGCTTCAGCACCATCGTCATCATCATCACCATCATCAGCATCATCATCACTATCACCAGCGTCATCGTCAACATCATCATCCCCATCCTCATCATCAGCAGCAACATCAACATCAACAACAACATCATCAGTATTGTCGTCTCCTCCGGAGCTAAGGAGATAACCACATCTTGAACATGCTCATGTAAGATGGATGTGAGCGAGAACCAAATTTTGAAGTCGACTAATATTCCGTCCGTGACACTCCTGCACGTGTTTCAGACGGACGTGCGCGTCGCTAAAACGAGAACAACATTTTGAAAACCACCTCCCCTGCGTCCGTGAAACTCTTGCACTTTGTCAGACGGATGAGCGCGGTGTTGAGGCGAGAGTCACAGTTTGAAAGCAAGCCGCCCACCATTCGCGAAGCTGTTGCGAAGTTTGAGCTTCAAGAACATAAGTGGTCAGGAAATCTTGGACGAAACGCCCAACCTGCCCTTCCGACTGGCCTCGGGGTGCGACATGGAGGCGTTACTTATATGGAAAAGGAATGGAGGAGGAGGCAAAGGAGGAGGAGGAGGAGGAGGAGGAGGAGGAGGAGGAGAAGGAGACGAGAGGAGGAGGAGAGGAGGAGGAGGAGGACGACGACGATGAGGAGAGGGAGGAGAAGAAGGAGCAGCAGGAGGAGGAGGACGAGGAGGGGGAGGGGAAGGGGGAGGGGGAGAGGGAGGGAAGAAGGAGGGAGGAGGGATGGAGGAAGGAGGGGGAGGATGAGGAGGAAAAGGGGGAAGGAGGAGGAGGGCGAGGAGGAGGAGGAGGAGGAGGAGGAGGAGGAGGAGGAGGAGGAGGAGGCTCCGCGAGGTGAGGGGGCGGGCGGACGCTGGGGCCCCCGCCGCGGCCAGCGGCGCGTTGGCGTCGCTCTTCTCGGGCACCACGGCCTCCAGGAGGCGGTCCTTTGGAGGGGCCCTGGAACTGGAGAGGAGGTTGGCGGCGCGCAGAGGCGGGCAGGGGGAGGGGGGAGGGCTTCGCAGAAGCACCATGCTTTTCAGAAGGCGCGGGCCTGATCTGTAGACGCGAGGCCCGCGCCTTCAGGGATGCAAGGGGAGGGCCCCTGCATCCCTGCGCGCGCCGCCAATGGAAGAGGCTCCGGTCGGGTTGCTTCATGGGGAGCGATACAGGGAGGGGGGGCGAGAAACGCGTGTACCTTTCGTGCCTCTCTTGGGCTCTGGGGGGCCACGGTAGGGCCCCTTTGGGGCACCAGGTGCAGCTGTCTTCACCCCCCCCCATCTACAGTGGGGGTCGATCCACAATAAACCGTCCACAAGAAACCCAACCCTGAGACCCCAGGACGTCTATGGATTTTTGGCGTGGGAACGTCACGCTTTCCATCGCAAAACCATCGAAACCCAGGGCGCCCTGGAGGCAAGGAGGGTGTTTCTTGGCATGGGCCTCCACTCCATCGCCCACCCCCCGTTACGCAACGCCCGATCGGAAGCGAGGCGTCATATTCCGGGAGCGCCCACGGGCGCCCGCAATGCGGGCAGGAAAGGAAGAGGAGGGGTGAGCACCCGGACCGTTCGGACACTCGGAGCTGCACTCCACATGCAAGTCGGCAGTGTCGGAGGGCGAGGCCGATGCCGTGGTATCGCTCGGGCAGGTGCCCGGCGGAGGGGGAGGGGTACTGCCCGGGTGCCGCAGAAGGTTGCCAAAGAACTGAAGCCAACGATGACATAAGCGGAGAGGGGACTGTGGAGCGGAAGCTCTGGTGCGTGGGGCCCCAACCACCTGAGAAACGTGTGTGGGCTGGAGATCAGTCCTCCGACGAGCAGGCCACATTCGCGAAGCGCGCGCCAGCGTCAGTCGATAAGTCTGAGAGTCAGGGTGCTATGGATTGCTTGCCTCATCTGAATGTTCATGTTCCAACACCCTACCAGGACAGCTCCAGCTCCCTGTCAGGACCCAACGGGAGGCCCACGGGGCTCCACATTGCCCCATACTGCCAAGACCACGTGACTGACAGCCGGCTTGTCGGAGCGCACTTGGCAGCGGTGCGACCGAAACATCTTGGTCGACTGCAAGGTGCAAAGAGGCTGAGATACGAGAACGGCGCCCATCCTCCGTACCATGTCTAGACTCCGTTCAGGCCTCGCTCCGGCGCGGTAGGGTGCATAGTTTTCTGCTCTGCGGGCCGAAGAACTATACTCCGCACCAGTCCTGGGTCGACTATTGGCGACGCCTCGGGAGACGCCAACGCGGTGCGGTGCAGACAAACCGTCGGCGGATGAGAAACACCAACGAGCGCGGTCATGGGATATACATCCCTCGTCGGAATTGAACGCAAGTTTAGTCGCGACCTGGCGGCGCCCCCCGACCCCCAATTTCAACGTTCACGCCGACGCCGGCGACTTCGAGATTTTCTTCAGACCCCGCTGGCCGCGATGCGCCTGTCTATGAACCTTGGAGTTCGGGGGCGACGGGGGTGGGAAAAACTTGCGTTCAATTTCGACGAGGGTTGAAGGGCCGGGGGACGGGTGCAGAGCAGGGAGGGAGAGGACGACGACGGCCCCGCGGGTCATTCCCGCGCGGGGCGCGCCTTGCGCGGCTCGGACTGGCCCCGACCAAGGACTCGGCCGACGGGCGAGCGTTTGAATACTCTTCAAGGGGAGGGAGACAGGAGGAGACGAGCGACGCCAGCTCTCGGCCGACATCATGTTTTACCCTGTCGCCGGTAGTTCCTTGACTTGCGTGCTTGATCTGCGCAGGGCTGGTCGGACGCGGGCAGAAGTGGCCTCAGCAATGCTCTACTGGGGTCGCCCTGGGCTCATCTGGGTCGACGATATCAGCCAGGCGAGCAGTGCGCCAGTTGCGCCAGGTGCGAAAAGTGCGCCGCGCAGGCCCTCCGAGGCGCCAGGGGGGAGGGTTCCGCGCGGGCGAGCGTCAGTGCCTTCTGGGGCTTTCCCATAGGCCAACTAGAGGCTAATTAGAGGCTATTCCATAGGCGATATGTATTTTTCCATAGGCCATTCCTTTTTCGCGATTTAGAAGAATTTAAGGTGTAACTCTTTTGAATCGTGAAAAGGGAATAGCCTATGGAAAATACATATCGCCTATGGAATAGCCTCTAATTGGCCTCTAATTAGCCTATGGGAGATAATGCTACGTGGGCAGGGATATCCCAGACCAGCCCAGATAGCCAGAGAAAGGAACAGGGCTCCAGAGCGGCATTTGGGCTCTCTAGGAAACTCGAGGAGCCCTGCTGGTACTTGACCTTCATGGCCAGCTTCTGAACGCGCTTCGGGCTGAGCTTCGGGGCCATGTCCTGCGGGCGGGCCCGCGGGCGAGCGCGATGCGCATGGGAGCCGCGCGGCCGCGGATCTGCGAGCCAGAGTGAGCAACCACGGTAGGGCAGGAAATATCCGGGCGGATCGGCAAGGCGGGTCACGCCACCAAGCGAGCCCCCCCCCACCACCACCCCAACCCCGCACCCCACCCCACCCACCCCACCCACCTACCACACACAGACACACACACACACACAGACACACACACACAAACACACACACACAAACACACACACACACACAGACACACACAGACACACACAAACACACACAGACACACACACACACGTCGCAAGAAAAATGTGAACATCCCTCGTCGGAATTGAACGCAAGTTTTAGTCGCGACCTGGCGGCGCCCCCCGACCCCCAATTTCAATGTTCACGCCGACGCCGGCGACTTCGAGATTTTCTTCAGACCCCGCCGGCCGCGATGTGCCTGTCGATGAACATTGAAATTCGGGGGCGACGGGGGTGGAAAAAACTTGCGTTCAATTTCGACGAGGGTTGTAGTTCTCTGAAGTGGGGGGAAGGAGGAGGGATGGAGGAAGGCTGAACGGCACTGACGAGCGCAGAAATTTGGTAAATCCAACGCGAAATGCTCGCAAGAAGCCATCGGCCAACTACAGAGACTTGTGAAACCTTCAAAGGGGACTGAACGCCCACCCGTGGCATCCAATGATTTTCTATCAGACCACCCTTCAGGCAATAAGGAGGTTCAACGGAATGCGTGCAACTTTCGGTATGCGATGGCCTCACGCCGAATGGCTCTACCCATCTAGCTGACGGTCTGACTGATGACATGTGCGTAGATCTAGAGCTATGAGAAGCGTTACCTGAGTGTCGAAGCAAGTACCGAAGGGTTAACCAACGCTTAGTCAACGACAGGAGCGAGCGGTAAAGGGAAGGGAGAATAGGGAGCTTGAAGACGATAGCAACGACGAGGACAGGGGAAGCGGGAGGAGGAGGAGGAGGAGGAGGAGGAGGAGGAGCCACAGGAGGAGGAGGAGGGGGAGGAGGAGCCACAGGAGGAGGAGGGGCAGCATGAGAAAGATTAGGTGGCGGAGGCGAGGCGAAAGCGGAGGAGGCAGGGAGAGGGCACGAGCAATGACTCGCCTGCCCTCCGCTGCTGGATCCCTCTCCGGTCCTCATCGAAGAGCTCGTGCCTGCTGAAGAGGCTCGCCTCCGGCAATCCCATTGGGCTGGCCAGTCCGGCTGGCGCACCGCGCACCCTAGAAACCCACGGGGGAGGAGAATAGGTACGGTTGTGCCGCAAGCTTTGCGCTAGGCGTGCCTCTGAGGAGCGGATGGGATCGGATCGGATAGACTTGGCAGGAGGAAGCGTCACGCTCCGCAGTGCCGTCTGGCCCCCCTCTTTCGGGGGGGCGGGGGGGGGGGCAAGGGTGGAGCTTTGAGCTAAAGAAAAAATAGGGGCAGTATGAATATCCCGCCCTGCCCAGCGGTCAAACATCACCCATGCCCCAACCACCCACCCTGGCGGGGGGGCTCAATACTTGAGCCCCCCTGAGAATACGCGAACCAGTTCCCTCCCCAAGGAGGGAGGAAGGAGAGCGGATGAGGGAAGGAAGGAAAGAAGGAATCACGAAGAGAGCCAGGATGAGAAGGGGGCAAGGGGAGGAGGCAAATGGTAACATAACGCTTTTCGTATTTCCCGCCTGCGTCCCTACAGGAGCAAATGTTTGTGTTTGCCCAAGTCAGAGTTGGAGGTGGGGCAGCGTTCCCGAACCCTTCGCTTAGCTGAAGTAATATGCAGCAACCCACGCTGCTCGAACATGGGAAGCTGGGAGCTCGGGGAGGGCGCGAAAGATAATCAAAACGTCTGCGGCAATCGTGTCCAATTGCCTAGGCATGGGCGCTGCTTTTCAGAACCTACGGACCTCTCTAATGGCACGCAAGGGGGCCACTCGATTACACGCGAATCATCCCTTCAATCGTGACATATGCTTGGGAATTGAACTATGACCAACGGCACTTCTAGATTCAATCGCTTCCGCTATTACTCCAAAGGTCAATTGTATGCGTACTTCCTGTGGCTCTCTCTCTGCTCTACGTGTACCGTAAACCTGGAGATCGTCAACGATACAGGACCAGCCGCGCCTACTGGTCGAATTGAAACTCGAACTGCTGTTACGGATAGACGCATACATACATGAACGTGCCTACACCCGGACGACTACAGCATCCCCCGAAACGAAGAAAACTGATCCCGCGCAACTTAAACACATCTGACAAGGCTGAGTCCTGGGCGCCCCGGGAGGGCCCAACATGGCCCGCGAGAGCCTCAGGGGACCACCGAGACGGGCCAACGGTGGCCCGAGAAGGCCGCAAGACCGAGCAACAGCCTCCGTCGACGGCCCCAGAGGGCCCAGAGAAGGGCCCCGAAGAGGGACAGGTGAGCGTTTTTTTACTCGGCGTTTCGATATCGGGCGGAAGGGGGGCGGGGAGAGGGGGGATCTGGCTCCGGACCTCTGCTCAGCGCGACTGGTTGCGACAGTGCGTCCGATGGGGGAGGGACTCCACCTGCTCGAAACCGGCGCCCAAAATAGCCAAGATCTACTCCAAAGGGGGGGGGAGGGGGAGGGAGGGGGACCCGCGCCGATCGGCAAAACAATGAATCGAAAGCCGATCACCAAGGATGTCCTTCATACGTGTTTGTGAAATGCTCGCGCGCTCGTCTTATCCGACTGCAGAGCCTCCACCTCGGCCCAAGACGCCCCAAAGCTCGCCCAACTATAGCCCGCCAGGCGCCCCAGGATCCCAGGAGGGGCCCAAGACTGCTCATGAAGGCCCCCAGGGGGGTCCGAACAACCTGCGAGAGCTCCAACACGGCCCAATGGGGCTCGGAGGCCGTTCTCCATCCTTCTCCCCCTTCTCTTCAGCCCCGTCTGCCATCATCCGTACTCTTCTTCGTCCTCTTCTTCTTCCTCCTCCTCCGCCTCCTCCTCCTCCGCCCCATCCTCCTTAGAGCGGGGAGCGGGTGTCTGCAGCTTGCCGTCATCAGCGACATGTACTCCAACGTGACAAAGACCATGCACACGGCTTCCAGCCTCGTAAGGAGGAGCAGGACAACGACGCGACGAGGGGAAATAAGGAGGCATGGCGTGCCGCTTCGGCGCGTCCTCCAGCAGGATAGCGGCCCTAGAGTGGAGACCCATGCCAAGACAAACCCTGCTTGCCTCCAGGGTGCCCTGGGTTTCTTGGGCTTCGATGGTTTTGCTGTGGAAAGCGTGACGTTCCCACGACAAAAATCCATGGTCGTCCTGGGGTCGCAGGGTTGGGTTTCTTGTGGACGGTTTATTGTGGACTGGCCTCCACTGTAGCGGATTGGTCGTATGCAGGCATCCGCCCATGGTCTCTCGCCATCTTGTCTGGATACTGACGGTACCCTTAACTGACGGCAGTGCTTCCCTGCTGGCGCTGGGACTTTGGCGCGACTGCAGTAAGCCAATAGATGCTTCAACCTTTCGCGTGCACCTGCTGTTCCAAAGCATGCTCGCGCACCATAACCTCTTAGCCCACTCGGCCTGCTTGGGCACCCATAACAACCATCTAGATAGATTGCTAACTTCGGTTGAAGGGAAATGAGCTACCCGCCTCTCCCCCGCAATCCAAAGTTGGCACGCTTACGTATCACCACTCGGACACTCAAGCCTGGAAGATCCGAAGCCAACATTGCACTCGGGGGAGGGGGGGATATTGCAAAAACCATACGTTATGCGTGAGTGCTGCTTAATTGTGTCCGACACATGGGGTTCTTGGTCCAAAGGGCTCGGTGGCCATTGTTGTGTCGGGCCCGTGCCCTCTGGGGTCGCTCAAGGCGTCCGGTCTGTTGTGACGGTGCTGTGGGGTCGCCTGGGCTCCAGGTGCCGGGGACTTCGGGGGCCTCCTCGGGGTCGCCCAGGGCGTATCGTTTCGCAGCGCTCTGTCGTGTGATACTATGTTATGCGTTGGTATGTTGTGTTGTGCGGGGGGAGGGAGGATGATGAAGGGAGGGAGGGATGGAGGAGGAGAGAAGGGGGAAGAGGGAGGGAGGGAGAGAAGGAGGGAGGGGGAAGGGGGGGGGAGGGATGATGGGGGGTGGGAGGGGGGCGAGGGGGGGGAGGAGGGAGGGGGGAGCGATGGGGGGGGGGGGAATGTTGCTTGATTCTTTCCGACGCCTGCATCACGGGGGGCCCGTCCGCTCCCTGCCCGTCGTGTTCCTGCGTGCGGCGGGCCTGGGGCACGACCAGACGCCGCCCATGGAGACGATGCCGATCAGGACCGCCTGCCGCCGCGGCTCTCCCTCTGCTCCTCCTGCCTCCTGCCCCTCCCCGTGCCCCTCCCTGCTTTACTCCGCCTCCTCGGTCTGCCTCCTCCTCCTCCTCCTCCTCGTCCTCCTCCTCCCCTCCTCCTCCTCATCATCCGCACCCCTCCCTCCTCCTCCTCAACCATCTATCCCTCCACCCCTCCCTCCCTTTCTGCCCCCCCTCTCTTTCCTCCTTCTCCCTCTCCTCCTCCTTCTCCTTTTCCTCCTCTTCTTCCTCCTCCTTCTCCTCCTCCTCCTCCCTCGTGCCCCAGGGCCCTCGGGTCCGAGGAGGGCCCCGGGGCGGGCCGCGCCGCGCGCGCCCGCGCCCGCGCCCGCGGCCGCGGGCCGGGCCCTCAGCCCTTCCGCCCCGGGGCAGGGGCCCGCCGCCGCCGCTGGTGCCGCCCCGCCGCCGCTCCCGGCCGCCGCCTCCGCCACCCTCTTCCGCCGCTCCTCCTCGGCGCTCCTCCTCGGCGTTCCTCCTCCTTGGCCTCGCCGCTTCTCCTCGGCGCGCCTCCTCGGCGCCCCTTCCCCTCCTCGCGCTAGTGGTGTCCTCGTGCTAGTGTTGTCCTCGCGCTAGTGCTGACCTCGTGCTAGTGCTGTCCTCGTGCTGTCCTCGTGCCTGTGCTGTCATCGTGCGTCCTCCTGCAGCTGCGCTGTCCTCGCGCTGGTGCCGTAGTCGTGCTAGGCCGCCGGTTCCAGGCCCAGGGGTGTGAGCCACCAGACCCCTGCGTTAGGCGCGCTGGCTGGCCCGACGACCACCTCAGGCAGCGCTGATGAGCGTGCGCGCCACCTCGGGGACCACGCAGGTGGCAATGGACCGGTGGAGAGTGCTGAGAGTCTCCTGTCGCACAGGGCCCTCAGGCACTTGCTGCGCGAGCCATTCCCGGGTGGACTCGCCCGTGGCCCCCGAAACTTCGAAGCCGAGGGGCTGGAAACCAGCGACTCTGCTGTATTTGCGGCGCTTGGCCTGTTCGGCCAGTCTCGCAGCGGTGCCTTGGGCGTGGGCCCCTCCGGCCTGCAGGCTCTGCTACGAGGCGGGATGCGCGATCGCTAGGTCAATATAAGCCCACTGGCCGTCGCTGTCGGTGCACCTGAGGTCCGCGCGGAGACCCGGATTGCCCGGCCTGGTGGGCGGGCGAATCCATGGTTCGACTGCGATGTCGCAAATGCCGGCTTCACGTAGGGCTCGCGCGATGGTGTCGCGCAGGTTGTTGCGGCTCTTTACCATGAAGCCACCATAGGAGCAGCAAAGCGCGTGGCGTCCGTTAGTGTCGACGGTGACGGCGCAGAGGGTTCCGTCCTCCTTTCTGAAGGGACAGGGGCCGTCAGCTGCGCGTACGAGACCTCCGAGTGTGTCTCGCGGCCATCCTGAAGTGGGCGTCAGCGAGGTGGTGGTCGGGCGGAGTAAGCGGCCCGAGCCACGCGCCTGCTCCCTTGCCTGTCGTGCTAAGAGCCCAGGCCCGTTGGTGCGGTTCCGTCTGGGTGCGTCGTAGCCACTGCGTCCATTCTGCGTGCCGCCTGTGCCTGGTAAAGCGCCGCTGGGTGGTGTCGGGCGGCTCCGCGTCGGGCGCCTGCTGTGCTGCCTCTTCCTGCGTCAGCGCGTTGACAGCACACTGGAGGCGGTGGAGCGCCGGTCTCAAGCCCGGGCAATAATGGAGAAGGTCATCTCTGTCGCGGAGGCCCAGTCACTGGAGCACTGGCTTCTCGCAGAGTGCCCACGAGGCCGCCTGAGCATCCAGGCGCGCTGCGCTCGCGCTCTGGAATCCCAAGCCGCCCAAAGCGACAGGGTGCCAATATTTCTCTTTCTGCTCCGCTGCGAGGTCGTGCGTTTGCACTAGCTCCTCCAGTGTGCTGAGTAGGTCGGCGTCGAGCTGGGTCGCCGTCTGGGCGGGAACCCCGGTGGTGCGCATGTGCCACGTCATGTCTCCTGCAGTGAGGGTTCGTAGTAGTACCAAAGACGTCTGAACGTCTAGGCCGGCTTTGTGAAGGTCCATGAGTCTGGCCATGGCAGTCGTCCTCCTGGTTCGTTGGCGTTGTAGTCGCGGCGAGGCGGGTGAGTGCAGGCTGCCTTCCTCGGCGTGCTGGTCGGCGGTTACCGGCGTCGGTGCCAGGCCGGAGTAGTCGTCGGCGTGTTGCCGTAAGATCGTGGGCTGCTCTACTCGCGGCGCGGGTAGGCCCGCTGGTATCGCGGCAGGATTCCTCGCCCACGCCTCACATTTGTCGACGCGTGTTTGGAGGCCGGCTTGGCTCAATGCGTTGGTGCAGGCTGCGTATATGTTGGGCAGGTCTGCAGGCTTCGCAAGGATGGTGAGGTCGTCGATGTAGCCGAAAAGCTCGTGCTGTATACCTGCTGCGTCGAATGGGTGTTTGGCCCTCTCGAGGGCTCGGTCGAGTCCGAGGCAGAAGAGCGTGGTGGCCATGCGCACCCCTGGAAGATACCCGTCGTTTGGATCCAGATGCGTCTCCTGCCCCCGGTGTCGCGGTAGACTACCTGCCCGGCGTCCGGCAGGAAGCCTCTTGCCCATCGGCGGAGTTTTGGGCAGTGAGCATCGATGCCTTCGTTGATGTACACCCTGCTCAGGTTCTGGAAGGCGTCTGCAGCGTCCCGAGAGAGCACAGCGTAGTCCGGGCGGACGTGGAGGGCAGTGGACACGTGCTTGTGGACCAGTTCCGCCCCAGCCGTGTGCTTGTACCCGAACTGCTTGCCGCGAAGCCCCTCGGCGACCTCGTCCGCCGCCATTTTGTTGACCGCGTTGGACGCGAGACGGCGGAGCCGGCTGGCGAGGTTGATGGGGCGGATTCGGGTGGGGCTCTTTGGTGAGCGGGAGGAGGCGGGCGGCCGTCGCTAGTCCCTGCACTTCCTCCGGGAGGGTGCCGCGCGCTACTGCTGCGGCCACTGTGGCCAGGGCACACGGAACGGACAGGTCAGTTTGGACGAGTTGGAAGTGCTCGTACCGCCACACGTCGGGCCCAGCTGCGCTTCGATTTGGTGCGGCCCGCAAGGCTTTGGCGAAGTGTAGCTCGAACTGTTGCTGCTCGCCGTCCTGTTCGTCGTAGGCGGCTGGTGGCTGTGGCTGATGGTGTGGGAAGAGCTGCGGTGCGGCTTGAAGGGTCAACTCGTCTCCAGCAATTTCGAATGCTTCGCGGAGGACTCTCGTCGCTTTGCCCACGGCGCCTGCCTCCACGAGTTTGCGCGCCGTCATAACGTCGTGCTCTGCGGTAGTTTTCCGCCTGGCGCGCAAAGGAGGTGGGGCGGAGTCAAGGACGGCGCCCCAAAGCTGCGCTTCGCGGTGCTCCCTGATCTCCGAGGCCCGGCGGAACAGCGCAGTGGTGAGCTGAGCGTTGCCTTTCTTGCCGCCTCGGAGGTTGGCGTGTCCGAGCAGTAGCTTAGGGAGCATGAACCAACGCTTGGCCGCCTTGGTGATGGACTCCGGGGTGCCGCGGTGGATCTCGTGGGCGAAAACCTTCGTGTGCTCCGTTATGATGGCGCCCACCACCCCGCGAGCGTGCGGCGGTATATGGGCGGCCGTGGGCACTGGTAATTGGACCATTTCTGGCGTCCCATTCGGCGTTGGCGTCGTTGCTGGCGTGCCTGGCCGTGTCGAGTTGGAGCTGCGCGTCGGCTGGCGCAGGCGGCGCCGGCGCGGTGACGACGGCAGCCCATTTGTGTTCAACTTCTCTTTTGAATACAAAAGGAAGGTCGTCGGCCACTTCCAGGGCAGCGTTGCTGGTCTGGGCGCAGACAAGAGCGCACTCCAAGCAGGCGACGGGGCTCTGCGGCGCAATGCTTGTGCGACAGCGGATCACCTGCGGCGGTATGATGGAAGTGCACATCGCGCACGTAGCTGCTCTGCCTGTCCGGGGGAGCGTGGCGTACCACGTCGCGGCGTCCTCTCGTGGCCGTCGCCGCGATCGTTGCCCGGCAGCGTCGCCTGGTAGGGCGCCAGGCACAGCGGCAGCTGCAGTGCCAGAGCGGGAGGTTTCGCCAGTTCGTTGCGCCCGAAACCGCCCGTGTCTTGCCTCGAGGGGCCCGTCGTCGGTTGGCGCATTCGTGTCCATATCGTCCGCTGTGGCGGCCGCGGCCGCGCCAGGGCCTTCCCCGGGGTACCCCAGCGTGCAGTCGAAGCCCAGCTCGCTCCACGTCGCGGCAATTGCAGCTGGCGCCATCCCGTAAGCTTGGTTCCTCCTGGCCAGCTTTTCGAGCTGCGTCCAAAAGTGGTGACGAGGAACCCGAGGCGTCGGGGCACTCAATGTCGCCGTGGCCAACGTCATCGTGTAGCTGGCGGCACCGACAGCAGATCCCGTTAGCGCAGCGGCCAGCAGGCAACTAACGAGCAGGACGATCGCGAGAGCGCGCTTCTTGCCATACTTCTGCACGAGTCCGCACGCCTTGGAGGGCCTGGCCATGAGGCGCCGCCCGATCGTTAGTACGGCAAGCAGCAGGTCCACAGAGAGACAGGTGAGCACCGCAAGAGCGCACGTGAGATGGCCTGCGAGGCGCAGCATTGTGAGGGGGATTGGCAGCTGCCGAGTCGGCTCCGGCTGACATCTTGCACTCCCCCGATGGCCGGCGGCATTCCATGCCGAGAGTGCCCAGAACAGCAAGGCCGCAAGTACCTGCGACCGTCCGCGGGCGTGCCAGAAGAGGCGCAACGCCCTCTCGGGGACGGTGTAGCAAGTTCCCCTGGTCCCACCAGTGATTGTGCTGCTGAACGTGGCGCTGCTGGTGTCCGTCGTGCTGGTCAATGTGGTGCCGCTAGTTGCAATGTTGCTGTGAAGCATGATGTTGCTGGTATTAGTCGTGCTCGTAATGCTTATCGTCGTGCTGGGCGTAGTGGTGTTGTTGGTACCAGTCGCACTCTGAACACTCGCGTTGCTGCTCTCACCGCTGCTGCTCGACGATGTGTTGGGCGTAGTGGTGTTGCTGGTACTGGGCTCGCTCGGAACACTCATGGTTATACTTGTACCCGTGCTGCTCG